ATCTATCTATCTATCTATCTATCTATCTATCTATCTATCTATCTATCTATCTATCTATCTATCTATCTATCTATCTATCTATCTATCTATCTATATATCTATCTATCTATCTATCTATCTATCTATCTATCTATCTATCTATCTATATGTCTATCCAACTATAAATCAATGTTGTCTGAATGGGTTATTGCTGTTTAAAAGTTAATAAAATTTACACCCATGCATAAACTGGTGTAGACTATGTGTCTTAGAGTAATTATAGCCAATTACAGGGTGTATAACATAATTATCAACCCATAGATAAAATAGATAAATGTATCTATGTACAAAACGTATTAACCCATTTACAAATCAGGAAATAATCCTTCTTAAACAAAATGTAAAAGAGAAGGGAAAAATCGGAAAAAAATTAAGTTAGAATTGCCAACAAAAGAAAAGTATAAAGAAAAGTTTAATTGTTATTGTATGTGCATTTATAGCTGCAAGTTTATCTAGTGTTATATTATATTTACCTCGTAAACAAAATTGCACAAATTTCGGGATTTTAACACGGATATAGAATTTGGTCTGTTTTTGCAATGATATAAATGGCAATACATCTAGGCTAAACTTGGATCTCTCCGCAACGTCTTAGCAACCGACCTATTGCTAATACGAACTATGGCTATATACAAATGAGTTGTTATGCTCACCAACGAAACTACTTGCAATCCGAGTTGAGCTCCGGGTCCGTGCCAGAACTGCAGGGGTTGGGTCAAAGTAACTACTTGCAATCCAAGCTAACGTGGTTCTGAATCCATGCTGGTTTACAATACATTTGTAACCATAAAATACATGTATTAATGTTTAGAACTTTTATTATTAATTTGTGAAACAACTTAATAATTTCATTTCCTTTCGAAATTTAACGAACTGGGTAGGAGTTTAAGATTGATGAGTTGGTTTTATAACGTACAGTGGAGTTTAAGATTGATGAGTTGGTTTTATAACGTACAGTGGAGTTTAAGATTACAGTTAGATTGATATAAATCAGATGTTTCTCTTATTCTTCTTTATAATAATGATTTCCACTTTAAAGAACTGGTTTTTATTAAATCTATTTTAATATCACGTAAAATGTAATTTAGGTTGGGTCTTTTTTTTCAGTCTAATTTGTAAATATTATAAAATGGTTAGGACAAAATAACTCAAAAATTGGAAGGTTGTACACCGAACCAGAAATCTAAGAAATACAACAGTCTCGTCCCATTCTTTGTTTGTGGGTGTATACATAAACTTGTCCAGAAGGGGTCTTAATATTAGTAAACTTTGTTTGCACCCCTGTTTGTAAGCAACCTGTTACTTTTAAAAGAAATTGTAGATGTAATTTCAAGTTAAAGAGTTTCAATTCACCACTTAAACAGTATCCAATTGTTTTTATAGCTTAATTCTTAGTTATCGGTTACTTGCAGGGCCGGCGGAAACTTCATGTATGTGTGTCTGTACCAAAAGAGTGTGTGTAAGTAATACCGAACCAAAGGTGTGTACTGTAGGTTTATAGATTACATAAGAATCTCGGTATTTGTACAGTCTAGGAGAGTACATTTGTTTATTGTTAATTGTTTACTTAAAAATAAGTTTAATATACATGTAATATATTATTTATATATTCAAATCATATAAAGTCAAATTTTCCTGCAAAAAAATATAATTTGATTAAAGTTTACAATAAACTACTCGTTATTCAAGCTTAATTATAATTGACGACATTGTTCTGCAATTTCCTTGACTGTAGTCATGTTGTGTGTCTATACCAAAAGAGTGTGTGTGTGTGTGATAACGAACTCGTCTGCAAAGCAGTGCGACTGGCTTTCTCATGCCAGACCAGGGCCATTTCCCTTTCCTAGTTATTCTTATTCCCTGGTTACTTGCTATCCAAAGAGAATAGAATATATATTAGAGGGGAATTTAGAGAATCTCTCGGTATGAATTTTTTCAGTCCCTTTCAGCCTGAAAGGGAGTTAAAAGTGTAAAAATCATGTAAATGTTCACAAATTAATTGCAGTAGAGTACATTAATACAGTATGTTCCCTAGACTATCTGTTTCAATTTCGAATTTTTTAAAGCTGTTAAATAAACTTTACAATGAATTAGGTGAATAAAAAACACCATTTGATTTATAGTTATAACGGAAAATCATCGTTTGTAAAATGAAATGCATAGAGTCTATGTGAAATGATCATTGGTCAATTATTGAAACCAGCCTATTTCAAAATTTGTTTTCTTTTAACATTAATTTTAGATTTTCTATAAAATGATATTCCAGGGCCCAAAAGGTTATATAGCATAAATATGTGAAGTATACCTGCAGCATGGAAGCAGTACAACAAAATGGCCGTTTTACAATTTTTTCTAGTAAATTCCCCTTTAATATATACTCTATTCTCTTTGTTGCTATCCTTTACACTCAAATTTCTTGGCACTTAAAATTTCCATTTATAAAATTAGGATTTAACTACGCCATCCTTGAAAAAGAAATATTAAAAGGGTAACGTTGTGAATCAGAAATGCCACTTTAGAAATATGGAGTCATTTGAAATTACAACACAGTTCCTTTAAGATACCGGGGTGGTTTATGAAAACCTAAAGTAGAATGTTTATTGTGTATTGTGTACTGTCTGGACAGTGACACTGAATAATAAATATGTCTGATTAAAGAACTGAAAGTGAAGTCTTGATGTAGATTATGACTAACGGAGAGAGCAAAGAGGTCTGGGAATTTGACGGTATTGAACAAATGTTTGTTTCTCGACCTTTGAGTCACTTTCCCCTCATTTCCGCCCCCCCCCCCCTCTATTGTTTGACACAGATATAAAAGTTTGTATGCAGGAGGTGGAAGATGTAGATATACTGCTACTACATATTCCAACGAAGCGCAAGAAATGATGGATTGTCGGAATCTCTGCATTGAGTGAACTGAGTTCTCGTTTAGACTTAAACGGAGCATAAGAAGACATCGTAAATAATAAAGCTTAAAGGAAATAGAATAGAACTCATGGGGTTATTTAGCAAGCAATTAGTCGACCGGTTATGTTACAAGGTATTTATCCTACTGTAATTGGGGGGGGGCAGGGGGGGAGGGTTACGGTATGGGAAAGCTCTTGTGAACTGAAAATGAGTTATAAACATAAAGACGGAAGTATGAGGAGAGAAAAATAAATGTGTTTGTGGTTACACTAGATTATCTACGTCCTTTCATATTTCATCAGTCGTTTGAATGAGCTGTCAAGGTGTATCTACTGTTTGAATGAGCTGTCAAGGTGTATCTACTGTTTTACAATTAATCAAAGTTTTAGAGATAATTTCAGACTGAGCCTTACAGTTCTAGAAAGTTTAGAGAAAAACAAGAATAATGCTTTTTAAATATTACATGTGTGAACAATGAAAATAATATCTCTCTTTTGGTACTTTAAAGATATTATTGGTTTGGAGACCTAGCGTTTCTTCTTCGGTTTCTACTTTGAATATTTTATTCAGACCTGAAAGACCTGTGGATTGATTGTCTCTTAAATCCGAGCGTAAATGTATGTAGAGCTATGGCTAAAGATACCAAAAAGCCATTTTTGTTTTGGAGCTTTCATAAGTGATGTTAATTTGAATTTAGGAATGCTGTTAAGCTCTGGCACTAGCACTGTGCCTTAAGTTCCAAATTGAGATCAGAAATGAACTGAGTTTCAGTCACAAATTATGATTAGACCTTAGATATTTGAAATTAGGAATTCTATTATATCAAATGATCTAAGTTGTAATATCAAAGCTTTACACCATCCGGTTGCAAAGATATATTGAGAATACTTGAGTTTGTGGAAAAGAATAAATCGGAGGAATATAAACACAGATTTTAAGAAAACTATTTATTAAATTTTATTTTTCAACATTTTATTAAATTTATAAACAAAGTTTTAAAAAATACTAATTATTATTTCATTTATTATAAAATTTCACGGGGTTGGTTAAAATCACATCATTTTTAAATTGCAGACACCTAATTATTTCAAGATTAGAAAATCTTAAAATTATAGGAACTAACAAACTCTCTATAAAAAAACATTAAAAATACTTCATGAATACAACTAGTATAGCAAAAATTTACTTCCATCACCAGAATATTTTAAATATTTTCACCCAATCAAAAATGAGGTTTGAATTTATTTTTGCAAGTATTGGCCTTTAGTAGAAGGAGAGGGTGGGCATAAGTAAAGAAATTTCTCTTTTCAAAATTTTGGCACAATTTTAAATCCTAAACATCTGCCTACCCCGGCCCCCCCCCCAAAGGTCATGATCTTTTCATAACAATACAATCTTGCAAAACAATTGGTTTATAGTACGTGATTCACTTATATTAGCTTGAAGATAATGTTTAATTGTTAAAGAACAAGGTTGCGTATTTTAAAAATTAGAAATTTAGAAAATAGGATTCAAATGAATATTCTGACAGATGAGTATCCTGACAGATAAATATCCTGACAGATAAATATCCTGACAGATGAATATGTCTGTATCCCTGTAGTTTAACCCCCTACATGGATCAGATAAAAGAATAATTTAAACCTAATCAATAACAAGCAACCTACCTCACGACTTAATATATATATATAATCAATGAAATCTATATACATGCATATATATTTATATATAAAGAAAAATATATAATCTAAAAAAAGAGTATTTTTCTCCATATTAACTGGTATATTGAGGACGCACACAGAAAACGCACGTCGAAGAAACACTATTGAGGAAGCACATTAAGGACACATAATTTAGTACGCACACAGAATACGCATGTTGCAGAAACACTATTGAGGACGCACATTGAGGACACACTATTTAGAACGCACACAGAATACGCATTATGCATCAACACTATTGAGGACGCACATTAAGGACACATAGTTTAGTACGCACACAGAATATGCATTATGCATCAACACTATTGAGGACGCACATTGAGGACACACTATTTAGAACGCACACTGAGTACGCACGCTAGAGATACACTTTTGAGAAAGCACAGAGCGTTGAATTATATAATTTTTTACCTTTCTTGGGTTAGTTTTAGCATTGACGCAGATCTCCTTGGGAACCTTGATGCAGTTAGGTTGCTGGATCAAACTAGATTATTATTATTATTATTTATTATAATTATTATGATTATTATGATCATTGTTATTATTATTATTATTATTACCGAGGAACTAAGACTGTCTCCATTTTGCATGTTTCATTAGGTTCTAGATCACACTGTTCGCTAGGAATGTTCTGAACTAAACTTCTCTTCTCTTCACGACATTTCTAAATGTATAGATTCTTGATAAGTTAGTAAACACTTGAAGAACATCATGGACATCATGGACATAATGGACATCATCGACATCATGGACATCATGGACATCATGGACATCATGGACATCATGGACATCATGGACATCATGGACATCATGGACATCATGGACATCATGGACATCATGGACATCATGGACATCATGGACATAATGGACATCATGGACATAATGAACATCATGGACATCATGGACATCATGGACATCATGGACATCATGGACATCATGTACATCATGTACATCATGGACATCATGGACATCATGGACATCATTGACATCATTGACATAATGTACATCATTGACATCATTGACATCATGTACATCATGTACATCATTGACATCATTGACATCATGGATATCATGTATATCATGGACATCATTGATATCATGGACATCATGGATATCATGGACATCATCATGGACATCACGGATATTATAAACTTTAATATTTAAAGGAAAATAACTGATTAATCGGCACAAACCTTTCTTTTATATTTTATATATCTTTGCTTATTATTGCATATTGGTGTAATTCTTAAAAATCAAATTAGAAAATTATAATTTGTGGCCAGTGTTCTCAGTTCAGTTCCTGAGGGAGGGGAAAAGGAGGGAAGGATATTGAAATAGGAATTGTGGGGGCTGTTCTTGGTGAGGAGGGGTGGGAGANTTGACCGAATAAACAGGGTGGTATCTTCTTGTCTACATGATTGACGCTAATTCAAGAGTAAACAGTGAAAAAAAACCTGAAAACACTGGGTGGGTGTTTAAAATAAGAAGCAAATGAAAACTCGGGGTGTAAACGACGCGGTAGGTGGGAAGGGTATAACCCCCCACCCCCTACACACTTTTCCAGATCAACAGAGTTGCATGATATTATCAAATCCATTCTCATCCACCTCTTCCCCATTATAAACATTACTGGTTATTTCTTGAAATAAATCTGCACTGTGTACTTTGTCTAGTGTACTAATACAATAAAATAGTTTGCCAGAATTCTTCAATAAAAATCATGATATTTGAGTTTAGTAGTTTTGAACCCCCCTCTTTACACCACCATATTTGTCGGGGTTTTCAAATAATAAATTCCCTTTTTTGGAAGCGCAAAGATTTCTTTCCAACAAGATGAACTATAAACCTTTTTATATTCAGTGTTTGTATAAAAGGTAGTAATAAAAGGTAATAAAAGAAGTTAAATTAATAAATAAAATAAGAACATATATCAGAAGGGGAGATAAAAAATTATCATCAATAATATTACCTTATTGCTCTGAACGAACTGGCAGTTGGAAGGAGCACAGATTTCTTTTGGGACTTTAGCGCAGGAGGTTTCAGGGTTAGATTTCTTTACAAGTTTCTTCTCTAGTCGACACTAAAATATATTCATAATAATAATATTTATATTACATATTATACATCCTAACAAAACAAAAAATTAAATTTTGTTGCAAAGACTCAATTCCTTTCAAATAAAAATAAATGTTCTTTAAATATATCGACATATATAATAAGAGCTTTAAAAATAAAAATAAGTAACCAAAACTTAGAAATAACAGCTGCATGTTTAAAAATTCTTTCTGTAATTTTAACTTTTTATATGTTTCCAAAAAAATTGTTAGATGTGACAACTATAATTATTATTTTGTTCTGAAAGTTGCAAAACAATATATTTTCATGCAGGAGCAGGTTTGTCAAGAATAAAGGATATCGTATAGATATTTTATTTGTGTTCTAATCTTTAAGTTTTTGTTGCTAAAAACATAAAATTGAATTTCGAATTTGATATTTCATTCTCGCTTAGTCCTTTGTTTTTTTGTATTGTATAACTAGTCTAGTTATTGTGAATTACTAAGTGAAATACATGCAGATTTTGTTTTGGACTTGTGCCATAAAAAATTGATATTTAAAAAATTATTTTTACACTACATAGTAACTGTACTAAATGTACCTTTTGCTACAGAGCAGAAAAGAAGATTATTAAGCGTTATTACCCTCGTCCAAGCATGTAAAAGTTTAGAGGGATTAGATTATTTAAAATCTTTAGAAGACTTTAAAAGAAAAATAATTTATCTTTTTTTTAAAATTGTATATATAAATTTTTCCTCGGGTTGTTTTTGATTCAAAAGTTACCAGAGCAGGAAACTTTTGAACTAATTGAATTAGTAAATTCATCCTCTTCTTCAGGGTCATATGCTGATCTCTTATTGGTCACATCAAGAGTTAAGGCCAAACTATAGATTGACAGAAAATGCCCTCTGGGAGAAATTTAGGTAACTAAATTGGTTAATTTAAAAGTTTCCAGCTCAGATCTGATAATTGTTTTTCTTTACATGGACATAACAAGAGTAAAGTTCTAATGCGCATCCAAATAATTTACAAAGTCAGCTGGATACACCTTTTGTTATGTCCGGACTATTTTGTGTTGTCTATGTTATTTTATGTAAATGTAAGATTATGTTAAATGTAAATTGAATCATGTACTATTATTCAATTTACCTTCTGTATCGGCCATTCCTCACAATCATTTCCGACGGACACCAAATCAAACTGTAAAATTAAACAATTATTTGTTGTTATGATTTCCCAGGTTGCAGTTTTTCAAAATGGCGCTCACCTGGCGGCTACTTTCGAATCTATTTCCAGCCTGTCGTCTTCGCCTAGCTCCGCTTCCTTGCTCTGGAACTTCAACTTGACAAAAGGGAAATATTTAAAACGACAAAAATTACCTGACTGGGAAATAGATACAAAGTAATTAATTTTAGTGAAATTTAATTTGAAATTGACAGCAATCTAAGGGAGTCTAAAATGTAAATTAGTATTTTGGTTGATTATAATAAAATTATTTGCTTTCCTACAATTTTTGATTCAATTCTAGATATAAGAACGAATTACTAAAAGAAAACATACCAGCGACGCCATTGCATTTTCTCTCGATGACCATCTCACAAACCGGTTCATCCTGCTCTACCTCGTGCTCCTTGTACCTGGCAAACAAGGGAGATATAATTATTTTACAAAATGTCAAATTGTTTAATAATCTTTTACTTATTTTATCGTAAATAATGTCTTATAATTGGATTTCCGGTTTAATTATAAGAGTTATCCCAAGAAACATTTCAACTTCATGCTCCGAAGGCGATGTCGGGTAAAGGAATTGAGTTTCAGCCACAAACTCTGATTTTCTTATTTCTACATTTTTGCAGCCCAATGGCCTAGACCTGAGATATTTCAAACAATGAATTCTGTTAGCTCAAATAATAAAAGTTTAAAATATCAAAGCTTCACGCCATCAGGTTGCAAAGTTGTAGGGATTAGAAAATTTGAGTTTGTGGCAAAGAATCAACTCCCTAGGTTGGATTTTTTTGTTCTACATCGGTATGTCGGATTCTATATGTTTGCAGGACTATAATAAAAAGAAGGGTATGAAAATATAAAAAGGATTTGAAAGGTTTTGATGTTTTCTGACTTGAAAATTATTTAATAGTTAAATTATCTCCATTGTTTCTGCAGCGAATATCATTTGAAAGAGAATCCACGATTGCAAATAAAGATTTTTTCAAGATAAAAACTTGGAAATCTCATAGATTTTTAGGGTACCGTTGTAAATCGGACATGCCACTTTAAAACTGGAAAGGTACGTGTATAGTATTTTAAATACATTTTGTTCATATTCTTGATTAATATTTTCTTCACCTAGTTTCGCATGTTGTTTCGTAGTGTGTCTGGCAAACCTCTGGTCCGATAATGTCGTCGTTGCAAACCTTCTCTAGGGGCTCATCACAGATCTCAACCACTTCATCAAACGCCTGAAGAATAACATAGATAGATATCAAAGATATTTCTTCCTGGAATTATTGTGTAGGTTTAGTTCAAAGCCTTATTTGAGTCTCATATTCAGGTTGATTTAAGTCCCATATTCAGGTTGATTTGAGTCCCATATTTAGGTTGATTTGAGTCTCAAATTCAGGTTGATTTGAGTCCCATATTCAGGTTGATTTGAGTCTCATATTCAGGTTGATTTGAGTCCCATATTCAGGTTGATTTGAGTCTCAAATAAATTCAGGTTGATTTGAGTCTTCAGGTTGATTTGAGTCTCATATTCAGGTTGATTTGAGTCCCATATTCAGGTTGATTTGAGTCTCATATTCAGGTTGATTTGAGTCTCATATTCAGGTTGATTTGAGTCTCATATTCAGGTTGATTTGAGTCTCATATTCAGGTTGATTTGAGTCCCATATTCAGGTTGATTTGAGTCTCATATTCAGGTTGATTTGAGTCTCATATTCAGGTTGATTTGAGTCTCATATTCAGGTTGATTTGAGTCTCATATTCAGGTAGATTTGAGTCCCATATTCAGGTTGATTTGAGTCCCATATTTAGGTTGATTTGAGTCCCATATTTAGGTTGATTTGAGTCCCATATTTAGGTTAGAAAAAGTCAAACCTATTTTATGAACACTGTCAATTAGTAAATGATAATAATCACTAATTATCAAATAATTGTTTGTACAGGATTAACCAGAAAGGATGAGATCCCTTGATTACGTTCATGATTCCCTGAAACTGTAAACCTTTTTTGTTCGAATCTATTTTTAATACAACAATAAAATACTTTATTCATGATATCGATTTAAACTCAACTTCATACTTTGCGCCTTATGGGCTTGTATAGCATACATTGTCTAAAATATATAAGACTAGTTAAGTTATAAAATTAGTATTTCAGATATAAATATTCAATTTTCGTACTTTTTCGAGCGCATATAAAAACTGCGTAACACGTTGATTAGATCTTGCTCCATGGTTTCCAAATGTTTATAAAAACCATTTCCGAATACAAAGGCTGGCTTAACCTTAGGAATTTTAGATCTGACATTTTTTAACAATATTATAGATATCAAGATAAAGATTATAGATATCAAGATAAAGATTATAGATATCAAGATAAAGTTTATAGATATCAAGATAAAGATTATAGATATCAAGATAAAGATTAAATCAGTTCAAATCTTTTCATGTCATCAAAAACTTTCTTTCTAAATAAAATAAAGATAAACAAATTCCAGTTTAATTTCAGGTGTAATTTTTTTTATAAAACCTGTGCATTTGAATGCATTTTATCCTGAAATACTTGACCTTTGAAAAACTTTATTTCTGGTCATAATGTTTCTTCCTTGTTTTATATTTTCAAATCATTCTCTTTTTTTCAATTTTGGAATTGTACATTATTTAACACTAAACTAATATTTCGCAATTTGACTTTTGTAAATTAGAAAAAAACTATCAAAACTTCTATTTTTAACGATAAATCTTAGATCTTTAGTTTTCTTAATTTTCCTATGATTCAGAGTCTATAAAAACAAAATCAAAATAGTTGCTCCACAAGATTGTGTAAAAATTTAGTTCATGTATTCATTTATCAAGGCTAAATATCTGGGGGAGGTGGAGACAGAGGGTGGTTTAGACTGTGGTTGTTTGCAGTGGTAATTGTGGCCAGGGGATGGGGAAAGAGGGTTGGTGTGTTTTAAAATGAATTAAGGATTGAACCTTATTACAAAAACGTTGATTACACATATTTTACACGTTTCTTTTTACACAGGGTGACTCAGAAAAAATTGAAAGATATGGAAACTGAAAAGTATAAGTCACCCTACAGCCTTTAATTGTAAAGCAAATTATGTATTCTGTAAATTTATGTTTTATCTATATACATTTATATCAGTTTTTAACGATTTAGGTAATCCTTAAACTTAAGCAGGGACGAGATAGGTCGGTTTATTTATCTATGGAGTGCTCACTGGCTTAAATCTTGATCAGCGATTCAAAGATACCGGATTGAACCGTCTCTAAGTAGTTCAAAGACTTCTCACAATTGATGAAATCCGGTCCCAGATCAATAAAATTTCTCATGTTTTCTGGCACACACTGCAAAAACCAGGTAATAAATCTTATTGTAGGGAAAACTCTTTTCTTTATCTGTTTCTTGTGTTATAAAGTTTTGAAATATTACAATTAAGGTTTTGTTGTATTATTCTAGTTGATCAATCTATCTCATGCTTCAATTATATCCAGAGTAAATATAATAGGGTTGGACACATCTACAGATCTAGCCAGGTTTTATACTCAACCTGCCTCATATTCTCATCTTAGCACTATAGCTAGAGTAAATATAATAGGGTTGGACACATCTACAGATCTAGCCAGGTTTTATACTCAACCTGCCTCATATTCTCATCTTGGCACTTCAGCTAGAAATCTGCTATTTGGTTTTCAAGTCTGCCTAGTTACTTACACCCGTTCTTGTTATTTTAATATCTTTGTCCTCTTATTTACTTACACTTACTCTTGTCTAATTACAAATTATAATCTTGTCTCCTTTTAAATCCTTTAAAAATCTATTTTTTCTTGAGACTTGTGTACCTATACTCAATACTCATTCTTGTCAATTATTACCTCCCACTCCCAAAACATCTTCTTGTTTCTTGTCTAAATAACTATTGTCTTATCTTATATATGTGACAAACCGTGAATAACCAAGATGATGAATGATAACGAACCAAAACCTGAAATTGTGAAAGGGAAAGGACATTTTGATTTGCATGAATGGACTTGAATGGAAAGAGAGTGAAGGGGTAATAAAGGTAGATAAGAAATTATTAAAGTTTTTACTTCTTATTTCCCCTCAGTTACTATTGTCGAGTCATACAGGGCTTTAATGTGGTATATTAGTTGGTGAAACCCCAGGTGTTTATAATAGCTTTTATCATGCTTAAATGTATAATTCTTGCAACCCTTGTAATATACAATTGTATACACTCTAATCTGACATAAATACCATGTTTATCTCTGGTATGTATTGTACATATATTTAAAGTTATATATGGGGTTATTCACATTAGTAGGGAGACAAAATACAAGACAGACATAAATAGACACAAGACTAGTCTTAAAACTAGACAGACATAAATAAGACACAAGACTAGTCTTAAAACTATACAGACATAAATAGACACAAGACTAGTCTTAAAACTAGACAGACAAAACTAGACAGACAAGAATAGACAGAAAACTGGACAGACAAGAATAGACTGAAAACTAGACAGACAAGAATAGACAGAAAACTAGACAAACAAGAACAGACTGAAAACTAGACAGACAAGAATAGACTGAAAACTAGATGGACAAGAATAGACTAAAAACTAGACAAACAAGAATAGACTGAAAACTAGACAAACAAGAATAGACAGAAAACTAGACAAACAAGAATAGACAGAAAACTAGATGGACAAGACTAGTCATAAAACTAGACAGACACGAAACTGGAAACATATGATTTGTCATAAATTTATACAGGCGTGAATAGACAGAAAACTAGACAGGCATGTATAGACAGAAACTATATAGATATGAATAGACAGAAAACTAGATATATACATGATTAGACAGATAACTAAATACAGCTTTGAATAGTAATAAAAAAAGAGAAAACTAGACAAACAAGAATAGACTGAAAACTAGATAGACATTAATAGACTGAGAACTAGAGGGACATGAATAGACTGAAAACTAGACAAACAAGAATAGACTGAAAACTAGACAGACAAGAATAGACTGAAAACTAGATGGACATGAATGGACTGAAAACTAGACAAACAAGAATAGACTGAAAACTAGACAGACAATAATAGACTGAAAACTAGATGGACAAGAATAGACAGAAAACTAGACAGACAATAATAGACTGAAAACTAGACAAACAAGAATAGACAGAAAACTAGACAGACAAGAATAGACTGAAAACTAGATGGACATGAATAGACTGAAAACTAGACTGACAAGAATAGACTGAAAACTAGATGGACATGAATAGACTGAAAACTAGACAGACAAGAATAGACAGAAAACTAGATGGACATGAACATGACAGAAAGTCTGGAATTCACAGTAAACCAAAAATGTTAAATGTAAATCTAAAGCTGACAGCAATAATTGATATTTTGTCAGGTTAATACTATCTTTCGTCTTCATACATACATTCCTTGACTAACTTGTTACATTTCCCTTTTCCTAGCTTTAGACTTACTATAGTTACATTTACCTTTTCCTAGCTTTAGACTAACTATAGTTACATTTCCATTTTCCTAGCTTTAGACTAACTATAGTTACATTTCCCTTTTCCTAGCTTTAGACTAACTATAGTTACATTTCCATTTTCCTAGCTTTAGACTGACTATAGTTACATTTCCCTTTTCCTAGCTTCAGACTTACTATAGTTACATTTCCNATCTATCTATCTATCTATCTATCTATCTATCTATCTATCTATCTATCTATCTATCTATCTATCTATCTATCTATCTATCTATCTATCTATCTATCTATCTATCTATCTATCTATCTATCTATCTATCTATCTATCTATCTATCTATCTATCTATCTATCTATCTATCTATCTATCTATCTATCTATCTATCTATCTATCTATCTATCTATCTATCTATCTATCTATCTATCTATCTATCTATCTATCTATCTATCTATCTATCTATCTATCTATCTATCTATCTATCTATCTATCTATCTATCTATCTATCTATCTATCTATCTATCTATCTATCTATCTATCTATCTATCTATCTATCTATCTATCTATCTATCTATCTATCTATCTATCTATCTATCTATCTATCTATCTATCTATCTATCTATCTATCTATCTATCTATCTATCTATCTATCTATCTATCTATCTATCTATCTATCTATCTATCTATCTATCTATCTATCTATCTATCTATCTATCTATCTATCTATCTATCTATCTATCTATCCCTACCATAGGTTTGTATGTGATCTGACAGTTCTTCTTGAAGCTGGTTTCACATTTCTTCTCTTGTGTGGGTACGTAGTCAGTAATAAAGGTATCATGGCACTTCTCTACAAAATACAGAATATAGAAAACATCGTAAATAAACAAAATTAGACTTTTAAGCCGCTTCGCGCCCCACTTTTCATTAACAATTTTAGCTTGTAACAATTGCTCTCAAAATTTTTGAGGATAATTTTAGCGGTCAAGAATCTTCCCTGAGGTCATCTGAGTTGCCATAATAAATTTGGACCCGATCGGTTCAGCCGTTGTGACGTTTATTTTATACAAACAGAGACACATTCAAAGTATTTAGACAATATAGAAATAAAATATAGAAAGGGAGCTTAATAGATTTGGATTTGTAACATTTTTGATAAGAATGTAACTAAAGAAATATCTAATATGGGCCTCAAAGTCAAAAGAACGTGATGGAATCTGACAGTTTAAGATCTTTAACCAAGTTGAGATAAAAACGATGTAAGAATAATATTAAGACTAAGTTAGTATAGAAAACAAAATGAAATTAATACCTGTAAAAGAATGTGTACATTTTACCCTCGTATCATAAACTGTCTCCTCAACCTATAAACAAGGAAAATTAAAATACACGGAGAAAATCTGCACAAAGAAAAGTGAAAAATCTTAAAAGAAAAGTTATTAATTCAAAAAATATTTTATGAAAATGATAACATTTTGGTTATTTTGGAGGATTTCTAATCATTAAAAAATACAAGTATTCAAGAGCTATCTACTTTTTTTATGGAATAAACTTGAATGCAGAAAATAATATTAATGGGAGTGTGCGCGAAAAATGAAAGGGAGTATAGGTTGTTGTCGAATCTAATTCGATATCGATCAGTAGCATCTAAAAGGAGAATATGGTTTTAAAAAATCATACCCATATAATATAGCATAGGACCCATACAAATTCACAGAATTGTATTATTCCACTCAGATCATAAATAATTCACTTAAATTCAGGTATTACAGCCTACAATTGCGACTGTGTTTACCTTACTATTTTACAGCTTTATGGTTGCGACTGTGTTTACCCTACTATTGTACAGCTTTATGGTTGCGACTGTGTTTACCTTACTATTTTACAGCTTTATGGTTGCGACTGTGTTTACCCTACTATTTTACAGCTTTATGGTTGCGACTGTGTTTACCCTTCTATTGTACAGCTTTATGGTTGCGACTGTGTTTACCCTACTATTTTACAGCTTTATGGTTGCGACTGTGTTTATCGTACTATTTTACAGCTTTATGGTTGCGACTGTGTTTACCTTACTATTTTACAGCTTTATGGTTGCGACTGTGTTTACCCTACTATTTTACAGCTTTATGGTTGCGACTGTGTTTACCCTACTATTTTACAGCTTTATGGTTGCGACTGTGTTTACCTGCATAACTTTGTTCACGCATCGAAGTCCATTTTTATCAGTCGTCTCTGCTCCGTTAATTCCTTCAACTGCTCCAGACTCAGCAGCTGCTGTTGATTCATCAGCTGTTGTTTCTGTAGTAGTGGGTGCTTCGGGATCCACCTGACGGCTGTCAACGTCGTTTTGGTCTGAAAGCCGCACAAAATAATTTAAACCAAAATTTTATTAAAAAGTTATGAATTGAAATAAAAGAAGATTGAAATTAATTGACAAATATAAATTTATATTTTAAATATAATGATTTCTTGCATTTATTGAATCAAGGTCAATTTCACAGTTGGTAACTTCTGACTAATTTTCTATATAAATTTTCCATTTCAAACAAAAATACATGAAAGAAGGATTAGGTCATGAATATATTCATCGCTAGGCTTATTTTCTATATCTAGGAAATGAAGAAATCTTGATTAAAACCAAACCAAACTTTAGTTTTCTAATTCTGAAGATCCGGGAAATATTTCTATCCACATGAATAATATGCTAAAACTTTTTGTGGTAAAGTAAATTTGATTTTTATTGCTAAATATATTATTGGTAAAAATCTGAATTCTAAATAAAAAGCGAAAGCATAAAGATTGAATTGCTTTAGAAACATTAAAAATCTTCAACAAATTCGTTTAAAGAATTTGTTGAATAATGAGCAGAAGTTAAACTCTTTTAAAAAGATTTTCTATTTAAACAAATGGCATTCATTCAACACAAAAACTGTAAATAATCAACTAAATAAAATCATGCGAATTTATAAACTTCAATATTCTAAGAATGTCTAAATAATGTATAATATCAAAAATGCTTTCTAAACTAAATGAGACATGCATTATGGTGAATATGATCCTAGGTATTGGTTGAGGAGGGGGGGAGGGGGGGGGTCATGCTTCTTTTTTTTGTGGTTTCCTAGTTCAGCATTTGTCATTCTATCCTCTGCTCCGTCTAGAGACAGTCTTTCTGAATATTTTTAACATTTTACAAAATCGTGCAAAAAAAAATTTCGAAATTTTCGCGTGCATTTGCTTTGTAAAAAATGTTGTGAAGACTAGAAGTCTAAAAAATGATAGCCTACAATAAGACCTTAGCCCCCCCCTTTTATTAAAAAATGAATCAGTAAAGAAGAAAGTAAAAAATGTGAATACTTAATTTAGAATAAAATTGTAGCTTCATCTGTGTAGTTCTGTTCTTTCTAAAGTCTACTTTTTTGTGCATCATACATGCAAATATTTATCCGCTAAATAGATATTTAGCCTTCCAAGATTGCTTATTCAAACGTCCCCCAATGTAGATTTTCTCTAAAAAGGTTATGGGATGTGATAACATTTTTGACATTTTGATTTTATCAGAAAAACGATTTATTCATCAAAGATAATTTCATGCAAATGTATTAAATAAATATAATATATATATTTAATAGGCGCCAAAAGATTGTGTAAACAGTAGCAGGCGAGGAAATCCAGGAATAAGATACTAAAAATAAGAACAGCAGTACAGACGCGTGGTCAGTACTGAAAAATATGAAATAAAATCAGCAATTACTAGAATGCTTAACTATGTATACCATCTGTTCGATAAAAAAACTATTTTAAGAAATAATTGTTTAAAAAAAACTATTCAACTATGAACTATAGATTATGGAGTGGATGCAAACAAGACTCCACTATGAACCTAAGAACTACTCCTAACTAGCTGTGGAGTGGTTGGAAACAAAACTTCACTATGATACTAAGAGTTACTCCTACCTAACTGTGGAGTGGAGGCAAACAAGACTCCACTATGAAACTAAGAACTACTCCTAACTAGCTGTGGAGTGGTTGCAAACAAAACTCCACTATGATACTAAGAACTACTCCTACCTAACTGTGGAGTGGATGCAAACAAGACTCCACTATGAAACTAAGAACTACTCCTAACTAGCTGTGGAGTGGTTGCAAACAAAACTCCACTATGATACTAAGAACTACTCCTACCTTGCTGTGGAGTGGAGGCAAACAAGACTCCACTAAGAAACTAAGAAGTACTCCTACCTTGCTGTGGAGTGGAGGCAAACAAGACTCCACTAAGAAACTAAGAAGTACTCCTACCTAACTGTGGAGTTGCAGCGAAGGAGTTATTATCTGGATCAGCAATAAGGTTCTCCCCCATGTTAGGACCGAACTCGTTGAGTAATGAAGATCTACCTTCGGCGTTCTCGAACAAGCCTCTTAAACAATGTAATTTCACTTTAATATGTTGCACAAAACTTAAGCATTTAAATATATCAAAATAATTAGGAAAATCAAATACTCAATTTAGAATTGTGATCACATTATAAAAACGTGTAAAGGGTTTAATGACAGCTTAGTTAAGAAAAGCACTGCAAACCAAAATAAGCAAGATATAAAAGAAAAAATGTTACATGATTTTGCCAAAAACTGCTTTTAAATTGAAGCTAGAAACAATCAAATTACTGTTTTGAAATATGCATTTCCAAGGCTGCAAAGGAGTATAAAGAGTTGATAAAGTAAACCCAAAACCCAAGACATTGTTACACTTCAATGTCGACTCAGTCCTAAGATTTGATAAATAACTTTCATAATTGTGAGATATCTGTGAAAGGTTGCACACCCTATAAGTTTTCAATATGTAGGTTTATGGTCTTTATTTTTCAAATCTTATAAAAAAAATTATGTTTATCAAATTCTTTTATTACAAAACAGATTAAAATATAAACAAAACTCTTTCTCCGAGATTTTTTAACGTTTTTTCAAAGTTGACAGTTTTTCATAAACACATTTATATTCAACTTTATTTTTTTGATTTATTTACTAACTTATATTTTTGTTCTTCTAACTGAGGATATCCTTGGCTCTTGAAGGTATTACCAAACTGATCTGTGAACACACCATTCTTCTACAAAAAAAAATATTTTATTATAAAAAATAAAAACAAAACTGAAAAAAAAGTCGAAAAGGTCAAATTTGAAGAAACTGATAGACTTTACTAGACTGGAAAGATAAGATCTTTCTTTGTAGATTGGTTTATATGACTACTAATAGCTACTCACTCATTCATTTAAATTTAAAAATTAAATTCCAGTGCACAAGATCATTAATAAATTGATTAGATAATACATTTTTTGTGTGATTAATTTGATAATTGATTGATTAATTAGTTAAATCATTCACGAATTGATTTGTCTAGTTTATCTATTGGATAGTTGATATATTAGATATTTGATAGTATACCTGGGTGGGGGGATGGTTGATCCTCACCCCAACTAGTATACCCGGGTGGGGGGATGGTTGATCCTCACCCCAACTAGTATACCCGGGTGGGTGGAATGGTTGATCCTCACCCCAACTATTATACCCGGGTGGGGGGATGGTTGATCCTCACCCCAACTAGTATACCTGGGGGTGGGGGGATGGTTGATCCTCACCCCAACTAGTATATCCGTGTTCAGAATTCTGGGATCACCGCGGTAATTATTTTATATATATTTATGCTTATCGGTTGATTCTAGTATGATTGATAATTGTGTATATGTTTATTGGTTCCTAGCCACAGTTTTTTAATGCCTGAGTGGATAATTTGTTGTAATTGTATGATTTTCAATAAAATGTAAGCCCCCATGGAAAAGTACCCGCATAAAATTACATTATTAATCAAATTGATTAAATTATGATAAAAAGTAAAGGGACCCAAAAATAAGTTTGTGAAAACCAACCTGTTCAATTACAAATTCATGCTCTGGTAAACCAATCTTATCCTCATGCTGCTTTCCCCCTCTCTAAATATATGGAATATTAGATTAGGATGGTAGATTAGGATGGTAGATTAGGATGGTAGATTAGGATAGTAGATTAGGATTGTAGATTAGGATGGTAGATTAGGATGGTAGATTAGGATTGTAGGTTAGGATGGTAGATTAGGATTGTAGATTAGGATGGTAGATTAGGATGGAAGATTAGGATTGTAGATTAGGATGGTAGATTAGGATGGTAGATTAGGATGGTAGATTAGGATGGTAGATTAGGATGGTAGATTAGGATAGTAGATTAGGATAGTAGATTAGGATGGTAGATTAGGATGGTAGATTAGGATGGTAGATTAGGATAGTAGATTAGGATGGTAGATTAGGATAGTAGAATAGAATAGTGTGGTAAATAGATAACAATTTACCTCTTCTTCATCTTCCACAAGCTCGTTAAGAAGATCATCCATGAGTTTATCAGTTAGATCTTCATCCATATCAATTAGACTGAACATATCAATATCGTCAACATCTTATACTTCCTAATTTTTGATTATATTCTAACTCACCTCACATCAGCCACTTTGTTTTCTTCCATTTCCAGGTTTTCTTCTTTCATTATAGGAGCATATTCTTCTTCAACCATATCTTCTTCTTTCTCTGAAGATTCTGGAGAGAAAGTAACAACATCGTTGAGACTAAAAACAAAATCAGCCACTTTGTTTTCTTCCATTTTCAGGTTTTCTTCTTTCATTATAGGAGCATATTCTTCTTCAACCATATCTTCTTCTTTCTCTGAAGATTCTGGAGAGAAAGTAACAACATCGGTTAGACTAAAAACAAAATACGTGTCTGAACAAATTTAAAATACCTTTCTTTGACAGGGTGAAAGAGGCGTGTACAGGAAGTTTAAAGACTATTTTTGTTGAGGCCTTCTCCAAATACCTTGTGTGCATAATTCACTAAAAGTCGAGACAGAACCAGAATAGGAAATCATGGAAATAGAGTAAAAACTAATAAATTTTCATGTAGTTAAGTAAAAACAACTATATCTAATAAATTTTCATGTATTTAAGTAAAAACAACTATATCTAATAAATTTTCATGTATTTAAGCAAAAACAACTATATCTAATAAATTTTCATGTATTTAAGTAAAAACAACTTTTCAATTATTTAAATAAAATGATAAAAAGTATTGTAAACCTGAGAGGTGATACAGTTGAGAAATATCCCATTTTCATAAGTTTTGAATTCCTGCCTTGTCGTAGGCTAGACAGGGGATCCAACCAACCTTAATTTAGATAGATAGATAGATAGATAGATAGATAGATAGATAGATAGATAGATAGATAGATAGATAGATAGATAGATAGATAGATAGATAGATAGATAGATAGATAGATAGATAGATAGATAGATAGATAGATAGATAGATAGATAGATAGATAGATAGATAAATAGATCATCAACTTAATCTACGTAGTTAGTGTCAAAATCATCATCATCAACATTGTTAGTGTTAATTATATCATCTTCAACATAGTTAGCGTTAACACCATCAACATGCTTATTATCAACATTGCCATTGTTCACATAATAAAGATCATGGTTATTAGCAGCATCGTTAATTTTAACAAAATAATTATCAACATTGTTATTATCAACATTGTTATTATCAACATTGTTATCATCAACATTGTTATTATCAACATTGTTATTATCAACATTGTTATTATCAACATTTTTACCATCAAAATTGTTATTATCAACATTGTTATTATCAACATTGTTATCATCAACATTGTTATTATCAACATCGTTATTATCAACATTGCTATTATCAACATTGTTATCATCAACATTGTTATTATCAACATTGTTATTATCAACATTGTTATCATCAACATTGTTATTATTAACATTGTTCTTGTTATCTTTATCATCACAAACATAGTTTAATTTATCACCATTTGCATGAACATTTTTATTTTTATCATCAACATTGTTTTCACAATAATTATGTGAAAAATAATCAAAAATAATTATTATGATCACAAGGATAATAATTGTGATAAAAATCATTAAATTAAGGAGCTAATTATTTACCTGGAACAGAATGTCGTCTGAAGATCTGAAAAGGATTGCTGTCCACTGATGAGGTAAAATTGAGGAGGACAAGGGCTAGCCCCACTATAGCCTAAACATCAAAATAATCAAACCAATGCTCAAAACTATTAAATCTTTAATCTGTTCATAACCCGTTCAGTCGGTTCCCTTCCGGCCCTGGTGGTTAATCTCAGTTGTCGATCAGATTTTTTATTGTCTCTTTCAGAATTTTCTGGGATTAAACTTTAATTCTTTAATTTAAAAGTTTACGCTTGGTTATCAAGTTCAGCCTATATAGCTAAGCACACTATCTCAGTAAACAGTTTAATCTTCAAATGATGCTAAAGTTAGGAAAAAGACAGACATAAAGATTTTTGGGATTTTTTTTCATGTACAGTGCACTGTGCACACTTTATGTACCCGGTACCCTGTACACTACCTCAAACATAACAGTTAAATTATCATAGACGCATTACATAAACATAAAAACTACAAAACCAGTGTGGACATTTAAACAAAAGAAATTCTTACGCAATGTCGCAATCAGTTTTAAATTTCGTCATTACAGACCATTAAATATAGATGATTACAGGGCAGTCTCGGGAAAAATATTAATGATTTTATTTCAAATGTAAAAACTAGTAATTTCAACATAAACTGCATCAATTCAATTTTACTTTTTCGTCAATGTGTCTAAATCATAAATCAAAATATTAACAGGGAACACCATATGAACGCTTTATTTACGCTTTATTTACGCTTTACTATTTCTACATTTCCTTCTTTCATACATTTCTTATTGTTTACCTATCTATTTGTTTATATTTCCACACCTATCTATATTTCTATGTTTTCAAATTGTATTTATATAAACTTTTTTCTACTGCATCGTTTAGTCTCTCTTTATAATATAAATCAATGTAACATGTCCCTAAAATGGCCTGTAGGCCTTGGAATCGGCCTAATGCAGTCCTAAAAAGACAGATTAGTGAAATATGGATCAACTCTCGGTTAATTTCTCATCCTATTGGGTCATTTGTATAGCTTTAGGATAGAATAGTGAATAGAGAGGGATTCAAGATAGATGGTTAGATAGATAGATAGATAGATAGATAGATAAATAGATAGATAGATAGACAGATTGATAGATAGATAGATAGATAAATAGATAGATAGATAGATAGATAGATAGATATAACATCTTGTAAAATTTAAGTTTAATAAAACCAAGATAAAACTGTTATGATAGGTTTAATAACCGTACAGGGCTAAATTATTGAAAGGTTACGGTTTGTATGCATACTATGCATTAATAATGCTTTAAAGAGACTGTGCACTAAACAGTTAAAAAAAAAAACAATTTTAACAATTATAAATCGAAAATCTGACTGCGATCAATCAATTGATTTCATATATATTAAAAATGTGATGTTTTACACATAGACGGCGGCAACCTTTTAGTTGATAGACAAATATATGGTTTGTTTTAAGAACTTTGTCTTTCTTTGACATGGTATCACAGACAAGTTTCAAATACGTAGATCAGTCCCTTTAAACAGCTTCGTAGAGCATTCCACTTCCAAGAAGTTAATTTTTGAAAACAATGATTTTGGGTTGGAGCTGGAGTGCAATATGGGTTTGCAGATCTCTGTGCTAAATACCACCCTTGCAGGAATATTTGCAGTTAATGATACTATAGGAGATATACATGAATACACCATGGGATGAGAGGAATACAGAGAAAGTAAAATAAAGATTTTTAAAAGGAATCCCATCCTCCCTTCTCTTTAAACCTTAAATCCTATAGCCGAACCTTCATCTTAAACAAACCTTTTTATTAATCCCTAAAACATTTCTTCTTTAAATATCTTCCCTTTCCATTAATCCTAGCTCACTATCCTAACTTTTCAATCCCCTATCTTCCCTTCGCACACTCCCTACTCCAAATTCTTTAATTCCCCCATCGTCCCTCTGGAACTCCCCCCCCCCCCCCTCCAACATCTCATTCACTCCTCATCTTCTGCTATTCTACCCAGAAACTCCCTAGTTATCGGTTTTTATTCAATTCTACTACCCACCAATCCCCCCTCTCCTACCCAACTCCGTGTTTAGCTACTTCTTAATCCCCATTCCACCCTACCTACTACTTTTAATCTTCCCTACCCCCTGTTCTGTTACTCCCTAACCTGCATTCTTACCCCCCTACTCTGGTAACAATGAATCTGCATATATTTATTAATAAAGTGTTAGACAAGGGAGCCAGGAATTTTAACATAAGAGTCCTGCCGTAATCATACTCTTTTTTAAAAATCTCTCATTTTTTAAATATGTATGTCTTAATAAAATTGTTCAAATCTATTGTATTACAGACACTTTGAATCTTAGTAAAATTTCTGAATGATGATAGGCCCCTTGGAATAAAATGCAAAGACCCCCATTACGATTAAAGATTGTGGCTCTATAGCACTTGATAGGGTTGAAACGTGTGGCTCTTTAGCTCTGTATAGCCCCCCTGAATGATTAAAGTTTCTGGCTTTCTAACAATGTATTATAAGTTTGTGGCTCCATAGCTTTGTGTAGGCCCCCCTGAATGATTAAAGTTTGCGGCTCTATAGCTTTGTATAGGCCCCCTAAAGGATTAAAGTTTGTGGCTCTATAGCTTTGTATAGGCTCCCTAAAGGATTAAGGTTTGTGGCTCTATAGCTTTGTATAGACCCCTAAAAGGATTAAAGTTTGTGGCTCTATAGCTTTGTATAGGCTCCCTAAAGGATTAAGGTTTGTGGCTCTATAGCTTTGTATAGACCCCTAAAAGGATTAAAGTTTGTGGCTCTATAGCTTTGTATAGGCTCCCAAAGGATTAAGGTTTGTGGCTCTATAGCTTTGTATAGGCCCCCTAAAGGATTAAGGTTTGTGGCTCTATTGCTTTGTATAGGCCCCCTAAAGGATTAAAGTTTGTGGCTCTATAGGCCCCCCTGGACGCGTAATCAAGGAACCCAGTGGGACAGATATGTAAATGCATTTTAATAGACAGATAACAGTCAGATTTTAGACACAGATACACTCACAGATAGTGTTTATGTATAGACAGATAGATATTAACATCTACGCCGCATTATGTGATCATAAATAGTTTTCTATTGTACAGTTAAAACAATTAGAAATGAGATATAAATAAAAGATAAACTGGGCGAAAGTGAATCATGACATTTACGACTAATATCATATTCATAACTCAGGACTTTAAGGGCGTGGATTCAAGCCCTCCCTGTAATCCAACCCCTGCCAAGAACAGAGATTATGAGGGGGGAAGGTGTCACTTATTAAAGGGATTCTAGGCGTAGATTCAAGTAAACCTCCATGTACAAAGTGACAATGAGGAAGTTACGTTCTAGTAGGAAAAATATTCAATTTTTACAATTTCCTTCATTGTTTCTACAATAATGGTATATTTAAATGCAAGTAACTTTAAAATAAAATATGAGGCCATCTCATTCATCCTTGATTAGGGAACAGTGAGAATCAGACATAACATTATATAAAAGGAAGGGGGTAGGAGAAATATTACATTACCAGTCCCTTTCGTAAATATAATTTTAGTCATAAAACAAGGAATGGAATGTTCCATAAACATTTGTCTAAATCATTTACAAAAGTTCATTATCTATTTTTATCTTGCTCGTCTAAAATGACATTCCAAATTACAAATAAGTGTACAAATTAAAAAACAAAAAAATAAAAAGTATGGGGAAAAAGGTCCATTCCTGCAAAGCAATTATATAGATGGAGTAAGCTATGTCTATCTGAATCTAATTGTTTTGTAAATTAATGAAGAAATCCAGCACAATTCCTCTTTATAATTAATTCTCTATGTAAGGTCGGGCCAACTCAGGATAATTAGAGCATTTTTAGTTCTCCTCAGATAAGTAATTAATTACTGCAGTTAGATAATTAAATAGATAATTAATTATGGTCAGGAATTCTGGACGATGATTTAATACTTTTGCTCTATATGAGGAAGTTTATGGAAAGCACTTTCTTCAAGGAGGGGGGGGGGGAGACAAACAGTATTAATCTTTCCTCTAAAAAAAATACAAATAAACTGAGTTTTTGTCACGAATTAAAATTTTCAAACTCACATCTTTTCAACCCAATTCAAATTTTGTCTACATCAGGCACAGCATCTCTTGAACATGGTCCAACAGAACGCCGAATCGGCAGCTAGACGAACATTCAGACTTACTAAAGAGAAAGACAAGGAGAGAGACAGATAGCAAGACATATTAGACAGAGTTAGACAGACACACATAGTATAAACTTAAAGAAAGACGAGTAGGTCGACAGACATGCATAGTAGACATAGAGAAAGACGAGTAGGTAAATAGACAATGAGGCAAAATAGACAGGGAGAAATTCGAAAAGGTAGACATACAATAAGACATGGTAGACAGAAAGAAAGTCGAGTAGGTAGACTGACAGACATAGTAGACAAAGAGAAAGACGAGTAGGTAAGTATAAGAGACAATAAGACATCAGAGACAGGAAGAAAGTCTAGTAGATATACTGACAGAAAGAAAGACAAGTAGGTAAATGAACAACTAGACATAATAAACAGAAAGAAAGTCGAGTAGGTAGACATACAACAAGACCATACGACATAATAGACAGACAGAAAGACGAGTGCAGACAGAAAGATGAGTGTAGACAGAGAGAAAGTTGAGTAAGTAGACAGACAGATGCAGTAGAGAAAGACGAGTAGGAAAGAAAAAACAAATTGGTTAATTCTCTAGATATGAAAGGTGGCATAAAAACAAATTGTATAAGTTTGTAGATCAGACAGGAGATCCTGATGAACCTATTGTTATATTCAACACATGCTGCACACATTCTACCCTTGCGAACAAACAGACAAATCAAACACAAACAGACACATATAACCCAAACACATTAATCAAACACCGACAGACAAATAAAACACATTAAGACAAGTCAAACAAAAACAGACAAATCAAACAAAACAGACAAATCAAGCATAAATAGATAAATCAAACAGAAATAGACAAATCAAACACAAACAGACAAATCAAACACAAACAGATAAATCAAACACTAACAGACAAATCAAAGAAAAACAGAAATATCAAGCACAAACAGACAAATCAAAACAAAAGCAGACAATTCAAACACAAACAGAAAAATATCATTCGGACAAGCTTAAAGTGGAAGACGAAAACAATTTAAAAAACTTTATGATATAAAAACCCACTAAACCATCCATATCTATATATATACTTTGCTTGTATGTCTGTCTGTTTGGGTCAAATAAACGTCAAAACGGCTGAACCGATCGGCCCCAAATTTTGTGTGTGACCTTACTTGACCTTAAAGAAGGTTTATGAATGATCAAAATTTCAAAAATTTGTGTTTAAAAGTTTTTTATTTTTGTAAAATTTTTAAAATGCACAAAAAATATTATTAAATCCGCAAATTTTTGTATACTGTACAAAGAGAAGATGCTCACAGATAAAGCCACAACTAAAAGTTGAAATAGAAGATGGCCGCGATAAATTCGAACAAAAAATACGTAAGAAAATAATCAGATAAGTCAACCTAAGTGAAGATTACTAATGCAAGCAAACTAAATGATAAATCACACTAATTAATAATAACCAACACTCAAACACCTATCAGACAAACAAGAAAGTATAAGGATGAAAAGTCGAAGGTCTCTTCAGATGTTTAACGTGTGTTTAAAAGTGCATAAACTTAATGGAAGTGTTTATAGATTTGGTTTCACATATTTATGCAAATATTTTGCAAACTGTTAACATTTTAATATTTCATGCAATCATCTATTTTTCAGGAGTTAGCTTTCACTGTGTACAATTCATATTAAACGGCGGTGACCGACGTAACAGAATAAGATAAATTAGTATTATGTTTTTACGTTGTATAATTGCTAAGTATAAGAGAGAACCCAGACGTAAGCTTACTAGTAGACTGCACGTCAAAGCAAAAATGCTTTGAATTCTAAACAAATAAATTTGTATTTATCATAATAATGACTAGAAAATTGAAGTGATGGTGAGATTATTGAAGATAATCACAACTTCTGGGTTACATGAGATATATTGCGAAGGAATTAAGTCTTTGTCACATACCAAAACTTTCTAATACCTATATCTTTTAAACCTGATGGTGTAAACCGTTGAATCAAACTTAGAATATTCGATCTAACAGAATTCATTGTTTGACATATCTAAGGTCTACGACTTTGGGTTGTAAAGATATAGGGACAATATAATAAGAGTTTGTGGCAAAGACTCAATTTCTTTTGTTCGTGCGTATAATATATAATCCTTTCCAAGACTTATAACGTAAGGATAGTTAATTTAGAGGTGTACTGCAGTGTACTGTCTCTGGCAGTAAAGTAAACACAAGACGGATGTCACACCCTGACATGGGATCCATCTTTCATATAAAAAATCAATGAAATATTCTGGTCACAGGAAACTATTATGTGAATTATCCAGGGGGGTTGGATCTTCTACCTCTCCGTGTGTATTGGCCTGAGTGTACACTTGGGATAGTATCATGATCATGATAAAGGATCTTAAGAGATTATGGCCTATTCATACAATACAAATATCAAATATGCAGTACGCTTTCGAAGTACAAGTGTTTGGGGAGGTTTTGTATCTTGAATTTTACTCAGTTTTCTCAGAACAGTTTATTAACGATGAAAGATTGCTCTGTAAAAGGGTGTAAAAGTAAGTCTTCCTGTGAAAATGGAATCCTGCACACGATAAAGGAGTAGTGGATTTTAATAGTTTCATGGAAAACAAATTCTCCATTTAAATATTTTCAGAAATCACCCCCGAGTACTGTAATATACAGATTGACCTTTGGAAGTGAAGTACATGGCCTGTACAATTAGTACAGGATATGCGTACATCATCACTCTATATACTATAACCTCGTTGGAATTATCAAAAATTATGAAAATTTTATGCTTTTATCCTCCTCGGATACTAGAAGAACACTGATGCATCTATTCTTGTTTACAAACACCGCCCATGTATATGTTCGCAGAAAATACGCAACAAAAATTAACTCTCCTTACCTTATTACCTTCATCCTTTATATCTAACTAGTAACTATCTTTCTATTTATGATTCTATGTTAGATTTCCTGTAAAATGTAAATATGTAAAAATATGGCGGCAAATTACCTTTTCGGGTTTTAAGACATTTCTTAATTTAATTTAAGCACACTTTTTACCCCAAGTATGAAGTATTTAGTATATTTCAGGTCAAATCCAAGTTTTTTGTTCAGATTTCCTCCCAGGGGCGGGATTTAAAAACATGTAATTTTATAATAAAGGGGAAAAAGGAGAGAAAGGGGAGGGAGCAGCTTTCCTGCCAAAAATGTCGGGTTTTTCTTTCTTCCAATCTTCAGGGCTGTTAAAATAATGATTTACTCATGACTTAAGGACTATAATTAGCATAGTGTGGTAGAAGAAATACTACTTATTGTAAGATATATTATACAGGGTTAATGAACAAAGGGTTTATTTTGTTGAGAAAAAGTATAAGTATGTGCACCTACCTACCTATCTACATATATCTACATATATCTATCTGTCTATCTATCATCTATCCTGCTTCTGATGAATTCACATGACATTGTGACTTATTAATCTAATCCCACTTTCCCTTTCAAATTCTATTCCCATGGGCCACCACATTCTCTTCACAATTTACACTCATAATCATACTCCTTTCCCTTTCAATAAAATAATAAATTTTTACGCATTTCCCTTTCAATAAAATAATCAACTTTACGCATTGCCCTTTCAATCCCTATCATTAATTATTACCTCGTATTTCCTTTTCCCTTTCAATTTCAATAATTAACCTTTTCATATTTCCTTTTCTAATCCTGTTCTTAACAAATTCGACCCTTATTCTCTCTGTATCTAAAACCTTTAATTATTTCTTCTGAATTGATCAAGAGTTTTTTTTGTAGTTTTAGTTAAGTTGCTTTTACTTTTGAATTCCGGTTAAAAAAATATTTTATCAAGTTGTACTACAGGGTGTCCCACTAAACATGACATTTAATAAATCGTTATTTTTAGTTAAACAAATCTTTTGTTTCATTATCTTTTACTTTGAAAACAATTTTAATATAGCATGACTCCCATATAATATTTTAATATTTTTATTGATCTTTGGTATCAAACAACTTAACAAATTATGGAAAAAGACATTCTAAACTATTCACCATTCACCAACTGTCATGTTTCGTGGGACACCATACAATGTAACATGTGTGCAAAGTGTACATTATGTACAGCGTACACTGCATGTGTACATATTTTGTATATTGCAATTATTAGGTTGATTAAGGGGAAGTTATTAAAATGTGGATGGAAACATTATTTATCTTAAACATCATATCCTTTCAATTTGACATAATTTCTTGCTGAGCTATCAAGAGATCACAGGATTAGGGAGTGGGGGGGGGGGGGGTTAGACGATGGGGATGTAGAAGATGGGTGGGGGGTGATGATCTATAAAAAAATGTTGAATGGTCAGGATGTGGTGGAAAATCTCAATCAACAAACTTCCTGTATTTCTAAAGTTTTCAGTCTGATCTTATAAATTCATTTGACCCTAAACAGGAAAATTATTTTGAAGTAGAACACAGGCTTAAACAGGGGCGAGGGGGGGGGGGTATAGATTATATAAATAAAAATAAATAATAAAAATTACCTTGCAATTCATTTTCGGTTCTTCTCTTTTCAATTCTTCAGTTCAACAAAGTCTATTTCAATCCAATCCTTAATCTTTACATTCTGACCAATATTTAATCTTTATATTCGGACCAATCCCTAATCTTTATATTTCGACCAATTCTTAATCTTTATATTAGGACCAATCCTTAATCTTTATATCAGGACCAATCCCTAATCTTTATATTTGGACCAATCCTTAATCTTTTTATTCGGACCAATCCTTAAAATTTATATTCAACCCAATCTTTCTTTTCTATATCTAGTCCAAATCTTAATTTCTACAATTTAGTCCAATTCTTAATCTTTACATTTAATACAAACGTAAATGATAAATCTTTCTATCAAGCGAAATCCGTATTTTTCAAATTTAATCTATTTCGAAATCTTTACATTAAATCGACGCCTGATCTATGATCAATCCTTGATCCTTCAAACCAAGTGAAAACTTATGCTTTTAATCAAAAATTCGATTATTTCCAATGAAAATCGTTAAAAATCTTACTTGACATCAATTTATTTCCTGGAATTATCAAATTTATTTTTGAATTACATTTAAAGGTATATAGAAGTGAAATTTGTGAAATTATTAAATGTTTTAAGTACCTCTCAATGCACAGCAAACAGTTTTTGTTTAGTTTAGTAGCTAAGCATAAAGCAAACATATATACTTCATGGCCTGCATTAAGTTTATTAAAATTGTTTTATTGAGGCAATTACTTGGGTTACTTTACACAAAACTAAACTTTCCTTTGTAAGTTTTAAACCTGTGGCATAAACGAATCTATTTAACAGACCGCAAATATTACAAAAAGTTTGCCAAAAAGGTGTGAATTTTCCACCAAACAGTGGTCAGCTGATTGATGGCTGGCAAGGGGCTGGATAGATCGATACAGTGAAAGGTCTATCTCTAGATGTTGAATAGTTTGTGAATAACTTAGATTTGTTCATTTCTTTAGAACACACAGCACGATCTTCTAATGTATGAAGTTTTTAATTTTAAGACTCAACAATTTTTATGGAAATTAATATTTTTACATTGATAAAAGGTAAAACACTGAGATAGCCTCATACAAATAGGATAATTATGCATGAATTATGCTTTAACATTTATTTAAAAAGTTTTCAATTTTCTTGTCTCTTGAAATGACTTAGAGTAATATTTTCATAATTCTTGATTCTTAAAATTCTTTTATATTCTTATAAAGTAAGATTTTTGCTTGATTTTTACCCTATTCCTAATTTTTGTTAGTCATCCTTTTTCATTTTATTTTAAAAAATGTTGACTCTTAAAAAATCGTTCCTTCCCTTGACGAACACTTGGAAAATCGTCCAGTGGCCGAATTTAAAGAATTTGAGCGGCGGTTTAAATTTAAGCCGCGGCTGGTTCCACTTAAAAATGTATCAAATGTTATAAGATTTAAGCCGGTGCTTAAATTAAACTGGGTTTTGGCAGATTTAAACTTTGGCTCAAATTCTTTAAATTTCATCTCAGGCCTATGTCTTTGGTGAAAGTGGAAAAAAAACTTTTAGAACTTTGCAGTTTAAGGTTTGTTTAAACTTCTCAGTTTATTGAGTGGACTCGTAAAAACAAACAAATTTAAAAATAAAAAAGGACAAAATTCGATGCCTAAAACTTCTCATATTCAATTCTTTGTTATACTACTCTTGATAACCTTTTAAACCAAATCTTTTTAAAAATGTTAAAATTTGTTATTTAAAGGATAAGGATGGATTCCAGCGTACGTGTTTATCCCTGCGTTAGTCTGGTTGAACTGAACAGTTTGAACCGTGTGCGCCGGATATATAAGGATACAAGAGAGAAATCTCGGAGAACTCAACGCCGGGACATGGATAGATAAAAAGGCAGATAGAAAATATGAACAAAGCCTGAGTCCAGGTTTGGGTTTTATAAGAAGATGAATTTGGAAATCTGAATTAATGGGAGAACAAGTTAAATGTATGTTTAAACAATAATAAGAAGGTAGGGAAATAGATATGTTTTATAAATAATTAAACACAATCTCAGGAATATATTGCATAAGTTGAAGATAAAAATGAGTGTCTGATATCAAGAATGAAAATGAATCTATACTAGTAGAAAGGTAAAGAAAATAAAGAACATTAGAATAAGTAGGATTTGGGGATAATTAATCAGTTTAAAAATAATATAAATTTTGCTTTATACAAAACATTAAATACACATAATATTGCTTAAATGCTTATCCCTCTTCCACAATCTGATGGGTCTAGATGTATGTAGACTGATCATTTAAGAAATTTAAAACATCAAACAAAAAAGATTTCCGTTTATTATATTTAATACAAATAACAAATAAACAAGCCTACACCATAGCATAATATATCATATATTTATACGAATATATGTTAAAAATGTAAAAAATGGTTTTCATCTTGAACTTTTATTTGAAGCAAATCATCATAAAAGATTATCATACTTAATAATATAATCTTATATATTTAGGAAGGTAAGGAAGTTATCAAATATTAGATATGACATTAAATATCAAGCATAATTTTAGAATCAAAATTCCAAACTTTGCCGGAAGTAGTTGAAGGGAAAAATGGAGAAATCAAGTTGAATGATTTAATGCTTGCAAAACAGGAAATAGAAATATATTTATATACAGGGTGTCCCACGAACCATAACAGTTGAAAGACGGCTTAAAGATCGTCTTTGATATTTGAAAATATTTGCAACATTTATTCGTCAACCTATTTTTCTTTTAAATGTACAATTCTTGAAATAATAATCAAAAGACAAGTGGTAAACTACAAGGATAGCAGACAAGTATTAAACTGCAAGGATAGCCGACAAGTATTAAACTACAAGGATAGCAGATAGTATTAAACAACAAGGATAGAAGACAAGTAGTAAACTACAAGGATAGCAGATAGTATTAAAAACAAGGATAGCAGACAAGTAGTAAACTACAAGGATAGCAGACAAGTAGTAAACTACAAGGATAGCAGACAAGTATTAAACTACAAGGATAGCAGACAAGTAGTATACTCCAAGGTTAGGATTACATATATATGTATTGATGTATTAACAGTTAAAGTATTTAAGATAAGGACCAGTGAATGATTTAAAAATGATTACTAGGATTACTTATTTTGAATGACAGGATAATAGATCGAAAGGACTCTAGGCTAGGCTAGGGATTAACTTTTGAACTGATTGCAGGTAAAAAGAGATTTAAATAAGAGTAAATTGTAAAATCCCAGAAAGGAAATAAACAATTGTTATAAGCCTATACATTCCGTCTTGTTGTTATGAAGGCCTAGTTTTGACCCCTCCTGAGTTAGAAGTGGGTTGGCGGCAACCATTGCTTTCTCCTGAACCACATTCCTTCTTCTATTGGTGAAACATGGGCCGCCAGACATTTAATAAAGAAGAGTTAGGCCTTATTCAACCTGTATATTCTGTAGTCAAACAATTGAAAATATTCATATATTTCATTATTGTATTTTTGAAAGACTAAAAAAGCTTAATTTTGACGTAGCAAAAAGAGAAAAAGGTTTATTTTTATTTTGTAAAAAACGAATTAAAATTATTTAAATTTTGATTTTGGGCTTGAAAGGCCCCATAAAAAAAGATAGGTTGCTGAGCATCATCAATTAAAAAGTTTTAAAAATTTCATAGGAGAAAGAATTTTGTTATGAGAGAATATTATATTGTAGAGGAAAGGTTTCGTGATTTTCTAATTTTATATTTCTAAATCTAAATCATACACACTATACAACTGTTAAACTTAATTAGGGACAGACCGGCTATGTAAGGTAGTTGTGGAAACCTTCTTTAGGGTTCATTTGAGGCATGTAAAACTTTTTAAAGATCTGTTAATCCTGAGTTTGAGCGCAAATTCAACGTTCAAAACTCCTACTTTGGGGGTGGATACGTTTTCTGAATCGTTTTTTTTTGAGAGTTTGAGAGCTTGAGAGCTTGAGAGTTTGAGAGCTTGAGAGTTTAAGTGCTTGAGAGCTTGAGAGTTTGAGTGCTTGAGAGTTTGAGAGCTTGAGAGCTTGAGAGCTTGAGAGCTTGAGAGCTTGAGAGCTTGAGAGCTTGAGAGCTTGAGAGCTTGAGAGTTTGAGAGCTTGAGAGCTTGAGAGCTTGAGAGCTTGAGAGCTTGAGAGTTTGAGAGCTTGAGAGCTTGAGAGCTTGAGAGCTTGAGAGCTTGAGAGCTTGAGAGCTTGAGAGCTTGAGAGCTTGAGAGCTTGAGAGCTTGAGAGCTTGAGAGCTTGAGAGTTTGAATGAAAGTGCTGAAACCTTTGTCTGATAAAGGATGAATGAAATTTCCTAAATTTTCTTGATTATTTTCAATTGTGGTAAATCTCTGTTAAAGTGACGAAATCTTCCTCATTGCTACTAGTTAGAGGTTGTGAATTGGAAACGTCTTCTCTTGAAATAAAGTGTCACATGAAATTAGTCAACAGTCTCTTTAAAGGTTTCGTGAATAGAAAACATAAACAGTATACACCCTTAGTTGTAAAATGCAACGAGAAGTTTGAATCTTTTTACAACTTTTTTATTTATCTATTATATCATATGGTACGTTGGAAAAATAGAAACGTATTCCCAGCCGAGTCAAGAAAAGTCCAACGTTTTCCAAAAGAAATAAAGATTTAATTTTTAGCTACAATACATACAAAAATTAAACTTATTTATTCGTGTTTCTCCATTATTACAGTTGCAGCATAAATGCGTTGAAATGAAAGTGTTATATATTTTCAGAGAAAACGTATTGGATTAGATAGATCCAATATTGATTCTTGTCAGGATTTTGCTAGTCACATCGAGGTATGCTCTTGTATCAGGGGATTGATTCTTGTCAGGATTTTGCTAGTCACATTGAGATATGTTCTTGTATCAGGGGATTGATTCTTGTCAGGATTTTGCTAGTCACATTGAGATATGCTCTTGTATCAGGGGATTGATTCTTGTCAGGATTTTGCTAGTCACATTGAGGTATGTTCTTGTATCAGGGGATTGATTCTTGTCAGGATTTTGCTAGTCACATTGAGATATGCTCTTGTATCAGGGGTTTGATTCTTGTCAGAATTTTGCTAGTCACATTGAGGTATGCTCTTGTATCAGGGGATTGATTCTTGTCAGGATTTTGCTAGTCACATTGAGATATGCTCTTGTATCAGGGGATTGATTCTTGTCAGGATTTTGCTAGTCACATTGAGATATGCTCTTGTATCAGGGGATTGATTCTTGTCAGGATTTTGCTAGTCTCATTGAGGTATGTTCTTGTATCAGGGGATTGATTCTTGTCAGGATTTTGCTAGTCACATTGAGGTATGTTCTTGTATCAGGGGATTGATTCTTGTCAGGATTTTGCTTGTCACATTGAGGTATGTTCTTGTATCAGGGGATTGATTCTTGTCAGGATTTTGCTAGTCTCATTGAGGTATGTTCTTGTATCAGGGGATTGATTCATGGAGAATATAATTTTGAGATATCATAACCATTGCATATCAAATTGAAAAGGTAAAAGAAATCTTGAGTGTTTAAAAACTAACCTTAAAACGAACCGATCTCTAGCCTTCCTGCTTTTTGTGTGATATTAACAGTCTAATTCCCTCTAAGTTCTGAGCAGCTTACAAGCAAATTACTGCAGTACTCCGAAATAATAAATAAAATGGTTGCTGCATTTTTTGTTGACTGTTGCATGTTGGATCAATTCAATTCCTATATTTATTTCTAGGGCTTTAATTAGAGAATTTATTTTCTATGATTCTGGGCTTCTTCAAGTTACGAGAATTGCTGAGAAGCCAGAATGCCTAACTTACTGGACTAAGGATTAGTACCAATATATATATATATATATATACATTAACTACTAGATTTTAGCCTTCATATGTTTAGATTTACAAAAATTTTAGTTATTTTAGAAAAATAATAATAAATATTCATTTACATTTATGTTTAAATATTTTTTCATTTTCATTTATTAAAAAGTTTTAGCTAGAAACTGATTTATTTCTTTCATCTATGAAGTGGGTGGTGAATTCTTACTGTGCAAGTACTGAGAAACCTATTATGATTTGACTAGTGAAGAATATAGTTGAGAAAACAGTGCAAACTAGACATAAAGAGAAGTTAAATTTTTCTGCAACATTACTGCTAAGACTTTGTCTGAAGTTTGAAGTTTATGCAAAAGTGTGAAAAAAGGTATATCTATCAATTTATATATTTGAAATTTGAATTATTTTCTTCTTTTCAATAGCTGTTTAATAAGATGAGTAATGAATAATGGTTGAAAACATGCAGTTCACTTTAGTTTAAAGTTAAAAGTAATTACTCAGAATGCAAGCTATGCATATATTTCCATTTTGTCAGTCATCTTCTTATATGTATATTTGTATGTTTATTGTTTTGCAATCTACCTTTCTTCCTGTCCATCTGTCAATCATTCACTCCTCAGTGCTCAGTGCTCAATGCTCATGCAAAATTTGTTGTACAATTTAGTTTTAGAAAAGTGCTTCTAAAATGCAAGCTATTTTTCTTAATATTTTTAACTGACTTATTTTTAAATGTGCACTAAGATTTGTAGAAACCATCTAACATTCTCCTGTTTTAGTTATAATTGTTAGTATGAGGCATTATATTATTATTATTATTATTTATAATTAAATGATTATATCTGAAGAAGAAATTAAACTGTTTCAAATATTGCTTCAGTTACATACAATTTTTATCGTAATTAAAATAATTAGAAAATCAAAAGTTATTTATCACTTTAAGCCATGT